AAAAAAAAAATAAAGGAAAGCTGCAAAAGTTGCTTCAGTGCTGTAATGGCTAAGGTTAACAGAACACATTACAACGTTTCAACAATATTTCACTTACAGTGCACACAGTGTTTGCTGCTTATCGTCACCTATGAAAAAAGCTTTGGTAACTTTCTTTTCTTTGATACTTTAGTAAAATTTTCATGTAGTAATGTTCAAAATTCTTTTTTATAATTAAAAACTGAATTATTTTATTGTTATTTAAAAATTGAAAAAAAAAAAGTAAAGAAAAAGAAAAGACTGGAAGAAGGTTAAATTTTCGTTATCGTAACAGTTGGGTAACTCTATAATATTTGTGTTCCAAATACATTGCAGGTTGAATTTTGGTTGCATCATTTTGTCGATATTATTGAATGCATATAATAAGCAAAAAGTTTGTAGACTATTAAAACCAAAAATACAGAATTGAAATGAAGAAAAAAAAAGTTGCCTTTTGCAAGAATGATTTATTTGTTGTGATACTATAGTTTAATTTTGCTTAAAATTTATGATAATGAAAAGCTAAAAATTTAGTAAAATTTTTGTTAGCTTTAGTGTATAATGAGTCAATATGACAGAGTGAATAATCAACCAAATTTAGTAGTTCTTCGATCGTGAAAAAGGTTGAACAGTTTGCTTCTTTTTTTTTTTTTTGCTGATACACTGTTTATAGGAGCATATAACAAAGAAGGCAAAATTGGAGCGAGTAGTTCTGTTTGACTGGTTTTTCAGAAATTTCTTTTTTTTTTCAGGTAGCAGTTGTATTTGATTAAAAAAGTTATCAGATTATACAGTACTGTAATTAGAAAAAACATTCAATTTTTTTAGCTGATTTAAGAGTAAAAAGAAAAAAAAAAAAGAAAAAAAGCTTGAAGTTTTTTTGCGGTAAAATGAAATGAATTGAGTTGAAAGTGGAAAACAGTACTGAGTGAATTGTTCGTTCAGTTGAATCATTGAGACAAACGCTTTTCAGAAGTTTGTTCTATTCAACAAAAATCAAACATTGTCCCATCGAACTTTTTGCTTGTTTTATTTTTTTTTCCAACATTTTCCTCTGTTTACTGTTTTTACTGGCAAAAAAGCTGACGTTTGCTGCAATGACTTCCTGCCTTTTCTTTTGATTTCTTCAAACCTTTACATCTTCAAATGTTTTTCTTGCGATGTTTAACCGTTACAAAGACTTACAAGAGCTTCATAAAACAAAGCTTTTTTAATTGTTTCTAGCTTAGCCTACTTGATTCATTAGCTGTTAGATGATAAAAAATGTTGCATACTAAAAAAATGAAACGATTATTTACTGCAAACTTTGCAGTATTGTTTAGCAGTCTAAGAAATGAACCAATTAAGACTGATAGATTGGTAACAGATACTTCCTTAATCAGAACTTTATTAGTTTTAACAAATAATAAATAAAGCTAAAATATAGTACACTGGCATAGAATTTGCCATATTTTTATATGTATTGTTTGACTAAACAACTCATTAAGCGAGACAAGAAATAATTATATATGCTTTACAACTTCTTAATTAAACAAATTTTTTAACTGTTTATTGCCAATTTCATTTTTGCAACAAAGTATTCTGACTAAGGTACTATTTCTGTGATATTTTAATGTTTTACCACCAGTGTCTGACAATTTTACAAGTAAAAACTACAAAAAATTGCTTCGAAACAGTTATTCGGTTTTTTTTAACTTCACTTTTAACTTTATCTTCGTTAACAGTACTCTGCTTTTTTGACAGATGTCGGCACAAAGTAATTAACCAAAACACTTTAAACCAAGTCAGTTTTTTCAACTATTCGCTTTTTTCACTTGTTACTTTTTTTTTTTACACTACGTTATACATCTTTTTCGACCAAGATTAAAACTAATTAATGAAGTTTGGTAAGACACATACTTTTACTGTTTCTTGATGTAATATTTACTTTTTACAGGTAAAAAAGCCAAAAATAGCATTGAAAAAAGATGAAAGTGGAAGAACAGAAACGAACTATGTTTAAAGATTATACGGACCTTAACAAACATTTTGATGACTACGTTAGTAAACTGAGTGAGCTGTGTCAAAGCTGGAAACTTGAAAAGGAGTTTTCAAAAGAATATTTCAAATTGTTGGAGGATGAAGCAAAAATAAGACGAAAAAGTTTGTTGCTATTATATTAGTGTAGACTTTTATATGTTAAACTGTTTGGTCACAGTCAAAATAATTACTGTTTTCAACTGTTAACCTGTTTTGTAGTCGAAGAACAACGACAAAAAGTCACTGACAGATGTGGTCCAATCGAAGATTTTCACTACAACCTTAGCAATTGGACTTTTGAAGCTTACAATAAATCGGATTCAAGACTTCAAGGTTTGTTGACAATATTTTTTTACGACAAAAATTTATCTCG